AATCTAATATGAACTATAAGTAATGACTGTGGAAGAAATGCACGAAAGTTATCTGCAACCAATCGACACGCTTTCTACAAGATGCAATGAAGTATGATTCTTTTTTTTTGCGTTTTTGTTTAATTAAAATAAAATAAAAATTTCAAAAAAAAAATGGCCTGTTTTTTGGCCACTTTTCAAGCTGTTTTCAGGTCGTTTTCCAATGCTTCAGTGGAAACTAGAAGAGCAGCTGGGGATGGCACCTGTGCCCACCGAGAGGGCTCTGTGTCTCATAGGTTCGCCATCACGGGTCTAATTAGTGGAAATAGGTTTTCCTTTTGAAGGGACACCCCAGGGGAAGAGTCCATCCTGCATTCCCTGACCCGGGTGGTGAACCACAGGTAGTCCTTGACTTACAACAGCTCATTTCCAAGTTACAACGGCACTGGGGAAAAATAGTTAACTTAGGACCGTTTTTTCCACACTTAATGACCATTGTAGCATTTCCCCCACGGTCCCGGGATCAAAATTCGGACGGCTTGGCCACTGGCCTGTATGGATGTCATCATCCTCGTTTGGGACCTCCTGACCAGCAAAGTCCATGGGGAAGAAGCTGGATTCACCTCACAACCGTGGGGTGACTAACTTAACGACGGCAGTGATTCACTTAATGACGGCGAGGAGAAAAGATCGTAAAGCGGGGCGAAATTCCCTTCACAAGCTGTCTCGCTCAAAACTGTGGTCGTTAAGTCGAGGACTACCTGTGCTTCAATTCAGGATGCAAGAGGACTAGGCCGGAAAGGGGAGGGCGTGGGATTCTCTCGGGCTCCCCTCCTGATACGAGCTTTGTCCTCCTCCTCCAACCTCAAAAGGGAAGCCCCCTCCCTCCTGCCTTCTCTTACCCAGCCTCCTTAGAACTCAGCATTTTGGCCCAGATGAGATCAGTGTCAATGGCCTCCTCGCGGGGGTTAGTGGAGCTGACCTGCAGCATCAAGCTCTCGCAGGGAGCGCCGGTCAGCGTAGCCAGGCCTTCGATGGCGCGCCCTGCTTGGAGGGCGAAGTATGAGCCGTGGAGCTTGGCCAAGGCCTTCTCAATCAGAGCCACCCATAGCTGTTTCCTCTGAGCCTGGGGGAGGAAAGGAAGACAAGACATCGCGTTGAATATATATATATGTGACAACCGACAGATTTTGTTCTGATCTAGGTGTCCCGAGAAAGCATAAATCACAATCTTAGTCTCCCAAACCCTCTTTTATTTAGACGGCTGTGAATTACGGTCATTCACAGCTTGTAATGATTCACAAACAGCCTGTGAAGAGTCCGACAGATGTCTGCTTGAGTTGCCGCAGTCTTTCAGGGTAATGTTAATAAACGCCCACCTTTACCTCCCTTGAAAGGCTGCCAGAGACCTAATTGGCAATTAGTTTTGCAAGGCCAAGCATAGCACAGAGCCAAACAGAACTTCTCAGAGCTTGAACCGACCAGATGAACTAATTGCTTCCTGCAAAGGCTCACGTCCGTTTGCTCCTCTTTTACGTCTTATGGGCGGGGCCAAGCCTTACTCCCGAATCGCCCCTTTTTAAAAAAATTGTTCTTCTCTGATGGCAGCTCTGCGCATGTGCACACTGGGAACAGACTCCCACTATTCCTCTGCCTCGCTGATGTCAGACTCTGGAGGCAGCACATAACTACCAGATGGCCCCCTCTCTGCCTCCAACACAGAGCCCTCATCAGAGCCTTCCCCAGACTCCAGGACTGGCCCATGTTCCTCCCCAACTTCCTCACTGTCTGACTCTGCTGCCAGCTCCACCCCTGGCCTGGGGGGTGGGGGGCGGCAAGGAAGAAAGGAAGACAAGATAGGCAGGTTGAAGAAAGCAGCTATTCTTCTCTATCTGTGCAACAAGTTGGGAAGTTTCCTCCAAGAATCCCGAGCAGGACATTTCTCCACAATCCCAAAGGTGTGTTTTCATTTTTTCCCCAATTTTTTATTTTATCAATTTCATATATACATTCACAATTATATGATCTCATAACTGTTATTAATAATATGTATTTATAACAACTTTTTCCCTACAGTTGACAATATACTTAAAATTGCTTCCTTACCATCCCATAGATCCCTCTTATCTTACAACGGTCCTACTTCTTCTTCCCTCCCTCCCTCTTTCCTTCCCTCGTTTCTTCTCTCCTACTCTCCTTCCTTCCCTCCTTCCTTCCCTCCT